CAGCATCCTCTTCATTCTTTGTCCTACAAGACACCATGCTCTGATGCTCACTGGAGAGTGGAGAAGGTATTGGAAAACACAAGGGGTTTGTGACAGGGCTTACCAAAAGAATAGCTTTTCACATGTTGAAAAGTCATGCAGAGGCAAAGGAAATCATTCAAAATGAAGGAAGAAAAATACCAAGTAATCTAGAATGTGCATTAATAATCAGAAGACTGCCTAGGCTGACAGAGAATAAATGATTCTCCCTTCTGGACATAACTTTAGCTATAGCCTATTCAGGTCACTTTCAGCCATTTATTTCCTATTAAAGGATGCCTCTGCTTGATAACCTGGTGCTGTTAGATAGCAACCTGTGGCATTTTTAAAGATAAGACAGCAATTACTTTCATAACCTTTGAGATAATCACTCTACACAAAAACTAAATGTTATTAAAGAAATAAAAAGAAAGAAAAAACCAAACTATTTGGATAAAGATCACTATATGCCAAATAATTTTTGCACTAAAATTTTGTTTAGTTTAGAAACTAATGACTTTTATTAACTACTTTTTAAAGTATTTAGTAAATACTTTTATTAAAGTATTTAGCAAATACTTTTATTAAAGTATTTACTAAATACTTTTATTAAAGTATTTAGTAAATACTTTTATTAAAGTATTTAGTAAATACTTTTATTAAAGTATTTAAAATTATCAACCACATAAAACAAAATACACTGTCTTGAAAATAAGTCTAGCATCATCGTTGTCTATTTAATTATCTGATGAGCAGAGGCCACGCCTGTGACATTACCAAACAAGGTGGCTGGATGAGAATAAGGTTCACACACCATTTTAGGATCAACATAATCCACTGATGAACACTGGAAAAGTTGTTTTCCATTTGTTCTCTCTTTTTTAATAAAAATGGTTATTGTAAGTAAGAGGGAAAATCTGCTAAAGTAAACAAATCCCTTCTTATACCCTCTATGGGGGGAAAAAACCTTCCTACACAAAAAAATTGTACAGAGAGATATTTCAAAAGCTGCAAGTTGAACCAATAGATAAATAAAAGGCTAACAAGAGTATTATCAAAACATTCAATACCTCTTCAAAAATTCCACTATTCCATGTTCCAGAAAGACTAATAATAATGATCACCTCTTAAATATACAGCTTTCATACTTCAGAAGACATTTTAAACTTTGGTTTGCTAGCAGCTGTTCCTTAAGCCTCTTGTAGTTACTAGCTGTTATTAGCATTGCTTATTACTCATACAGAAAAACACGAACTTGCCCGAAGGGAAACCTGCTCTTTTCTTATGGCTAAATGAAAACTGAATGAAAAAATTGCCCTCTGGAATTCAGCACTTTGAATGAACAACCAGTAGCACTTTTGTTATTCTGCTGCCAACCCTCTCTGTCTCTCTGGGTCTCTGTGGGTCTCTGTCTCTGTCTCTCTCTCTCTCACACACACACACACACACAGACACACAGACAGACAGACACACACACACACACACACACACACACACACACACACACACACATACAGCTCTATGAATGTGGGCAGGACTCCAATTAGGCACTTGCTGAGGGAGGTGATTTAAGGGCAATGGGATGAAAACCTTGTACAGTAGCACCACCTAGTGGGCACTGGGGAGAGGCTCAGAACTCCCCTCCCCCTTGCAGCTGCTTCATGGATGAACAATAGGTCACTATTCCTAAAATAGATCATTTCAGCTTTCAATTTTCATCTGACCAGAAATTTCATCATCAGAACTCTCGGACAACAGAGCAAGAGCTGCATGGGTGTTCCAGTTCCACAGGCTTTCTGAAGTACTGCTAGCTGCTAGGACTTAATCATCTGTGTGTCTGTGGTGTTAGTAAGGAAATCAATGCTTGCTTTGGAGTAGCTTACACAAAGTTGTGCATAAATTTACCACCACAACTTTTCAAGGAGAAATCATAAAAAAGCAGAAGACATTTGATATTGTGTGATCAGACCTTCCAGTCACAGTAATTTTAAGCCAGAACCAGAAATAATAACAATTTGCTGGCTTTATTTATTCCATAAACACCCAAAATTACATACTCAAATACACATCACTTGATTAGTATTCATGGTTGTTCAATTTTTATAAGAACAAGTAATGTTAAAATATTTATATAATAATCATACAGTAGTAAATACACATATGTTGCCAAATTTCATTACTTTATTGACAAATAAATTCAAACAATTTGCCAAAAAAGTTCTCTAGGATTGCTTTAAAAAACAATTAAGAATTTCTATTTTCTCAGTCTCCAACTTACTTCTTTCAACCAAGATAGTCTTTGTCTGAAAATGACAAAAATTAAAATTTCATCTTTATATATATATCTTCCCAATAGACCAGTGGGTTGGTTCTCAAATGGGAATGATATTGCCTCCCAGAATATATGTTGGAGGGTGTGGTCTCTTTGGTCAGGGTTGCTGCAATCAACAACGCACGAGTCACCCAGAACAAAAAATTATCCTGTGTAAAACATCAACGGGGCCAAAGTTGAGAAAGCCCATCTAGACTGTAAGATGCCAAAAGACAGGAACAATGTCTCATTTAAAAATATACACTAAGTATCTGGCAAGGTAAGGTAATAATTGTTTGGTGAAATAAATTGATACTGACATCTAATGTTGGCCATGTACCAATAGATTACTTAAACTTTAAAAGAATACTAATTACAATCAGGAAAGCATACCCTTGACTGTACGTATAGGGCACAGCATCCCAATCCCTGGTAAGGCATCCCACACCACACACAAGTGATTGTTTGTGAATTTTGTTATTCAAAGCCAGTCTAGCTGAGTCTGATCACCAAGTGAGAAAGGCTAGTGCACAGACACTGTGTGATGGGAGATTCACTACAGTGATGCTTCTTTTCTTGAGAATTCTTACAAAAATGTCATCCAGACTTTTGGCTATTGCCCACTTTCAAACTATAACCACATTTTTAAGTGACTTTTCCCACAAAATGAAGTTTTTCCTTATACTTTCCCACTTAACCATGTGACTATTTTTATAAATACCACTCCAAAACCTCTCCATGCATATTGAATATAGAAAACTATCTGATCTACTACCTGCCACTTTAAGCCAAATATATCAATAAACACTCTACACTGACATCAGAAGTAGACTTTATGTGATCTTAAATTCAGTCAAAACACTCTTTTCAAGATACCAATTGTTTAATGATTAAAACATTCTATAAATAATATGTGATATATACAATCAAGGTGAGGCATATCCTTGTGAAGAAAACAGTAAGCTTTACCATTTCAGATTTCAAATTTCTAAATATAACTTTCTGAATGGTACTGAAATGATCCCATGTTGTTCTTTCCTGATATTCCTTTAAAAGCCCTTTGGGACTCTTGTCAGGAACAATAAATCATTAAGGAACCGTTTATGGACTAGATTTGCCAGGATATAGTTCCTTAAGGAAACACATCAAGAGTAGTAACCACTCATTCTGAGGGGTATTAAACTGGTAACAGAAGTCATCTATTTTCAGAACAGAGAACCAAAGATTGTTAAATGCAGTGCTGGAATTTCTGCAAATACATAACCCTTTTAAATTAGAAAAAAATTAAAATGTAAGACTTTTGTTAATATTTGTCCTAATAAACATTGAATTCTTCAACATGTGATGAACTCAACATTTTTTTAATATCCTGCCTCATAGGCCTAATTTCTGGCAAATGTTTTTTGTTTCTCATTGGTGTGTGTGTATGTGTTTCAACTGTTGACCAAGACACAAGATTTCAAACTTTCCTATGGGAAGTCCAGGAGCTGAAGAACTTTTTATTCTCTTCTGATATCACTGTGAGCTTTTAAGGGCCATTTAAATGACCCATTATTTCCATTTGATTCACAAAACTTCCATTACCATATCCTGAGCATCCTGGTCCCGCCACTCACACCTACCAATGACAATCATCAGGGCCACAAAGGACCACATATTTTCTAGTGATGTGAAATTCTTCATGCAGCTACAAAGGACCACATATTTTCTACTGATGTGAAATTCTTAAACATAACCATATATACTTTTCCTTCTCTGAGAATGAAAGATGGTAGACCAGATTCTAAGTGCCTGTGACAAAGCTCCAGAGACAATACACCCAGCTCCCTGAAGGACAAGAGACTAGTAACGAGTTAATAACTGGGTAGAAAGTTACAGCTACAGTGCCCAAAATATTCTATAGTGGAAAGGCCTCAAGTCAAAAATAACAAGTACTGAAGAAATTCTAGGGAATTAAATCCATGTGTAAAACACACTCTAGTATTTTTTAGATCATGCAATGTAATATTAGAAAGACTTATCATTAAATATGAAATGTAAGGGCCTATACTAATGCTCTTTTGGCTCACACTTTAACAGAACTCCAACATTACTTCAATGTTGAGGAATTAAAGGCCTTCTTTGCAATGAAGAAGAGAACCAGTAGGAAGATTTCTATGAAAGTTCCTAAACTGGTCAGAAGATAATCAGCCAGAGAGTTTGGCAAGTTAAATGACTTATATCTATCTGTACGTGAAAAAAAATCCCTTGGTAATAAAAAAAACCAAAAAACTTTTTTCTATTTTCTGCAATAATGAAATCAGGTTAGGTACATTTTGCTAAGTCAGGACCAACCAAAGATAGGCCAGAGAGAAAGACTAAACAATTGAAATAAAGATAGATATTTCAACCTCACCAGACAGCCTATGGTTTGAAAATTCACACTAATCCAGAAAAAGTAGTATTTTTTTGCCTCATTTGAAACAGAATTGAGGAAGGTTACATGCATACTTAAAATATAACAGGGAAAGAATAGGTACAGATAAGTAAATTTAGGCTAACGGGAAAAAAGTGTAGAATATTAAAATGAAGCTAAAAGAAAATTATCTTGAGAATGTGTGCAGTAAAAGAAATATTCAGAACATGAAATTAACACTAATTTATGACGTAAAAAAGAAGCTTTGCCACTCACCAATTTTAACCTCTGTAAAGGTATTCTGCCTACATCTATCTGTGTCCTTTCTGGGACATTAGTGAATCGAACTTCTGGGACCGCGACGGCACACATGACATGGGCCCACCTACGGGAAAGGAGACATGAAACATAAACAAAAGTTCCCTAAACTTGCACACCGCACACTTCAACTAGGCGGTGGCAATTCTCACAGATAGTAAATGCACAGATGAGAAGGAAAGTCAACAGCCTAAATCCATCACAAACAGATTCCGAAGTTTAAACCTCTCGGGTGATACCTGGACAGATTCAGTACCACACGTGCCCACAACTGCAACTTGCAGAATGGGGTGAAGACCAAAGACTCGATCCTATCAATATATGATGTTTTTCTAAACTGGATCTGCAAACTACTAAAATGTAGGGCTGCTATTTCATTTGGTACTGAAATATAACAGGTGTTTAATATACTTAAGCAAATCAATATGTGGCAAAAGATTAGTTCAATTAATACAAGGTATGAATTGGATAGACTATATAATCTTTTTGCATAATGCAAGTATCATGGAAATTAGAATAGTAAAAGTTTTCTAAGAGAATTAGTACTGATTAAGTCTTTAATTAAATTGTTTCTCATTACAATCCTACTATAACCAAAGGAAACTGAGATAAGGAGGAATGAAATTAGCTGGTTCTCTCATTTCCTACTTAAAACCTAGTATCTCCTCTCAAATTCTGAATTACTCTAGAAAAATGACAATGTCTCCATTAACACTATTTAGTTTCTCATAAATATTATGCCCCAAGTAAACATAAAAGACTCTTGAGGTTTAAAGATACCTTGAAGGAATTATCACATCCATCAGCCTATTTCTGAGTCAAAGTGTAGTATGTCACTCAAACATCGTAAGATTCCACTCTGCCTTTTTTTTTTTTTTTACAAACAGTTTATTGTCAAATTAGTTTTCACATAACACCCAGTGCTCCTCCCCACCATTTCCCCCCTTCTTCTCCCCCTTGTTCCTCCGTCAAGTTCCTCCTAATCCTCCTATACGCGCAAACATATGATATTTGTCCTTCTCTGCCTGACTTATTTTGCTCAGCATAACACCACTCTGCCTTTAAAGGCCACAGGGAAAGAGGACAAGTGTCCACCTCATCAGAACATCCTTTCAAATCTAAATAAATACTGTAATTCTATAGTAAACATTATTCCTTTTTACCCTAAGTCCAAGAGTAGGAAGAGAAGTTCTTACCACCTATGTATTTACAGGAACCACTTAAATCACCTCACAGTCCGCATAATTTGTGCAATACCCTAGACCTAGCAACATTTTTTAGTACTGTGCCAATCACATTAACTAAGACTGTGAAAGAGGAAGATCTAAAATCAAGCAAATAAAAGTCTATTAGACTGAACTTTATCAACATAGGAATGATAAATGCCTTCACTCTTAGAAGCAATCAGAAACATGTGCAAATGCACATAGCTACACTAATTCAATCATTACATTATACCTAGGTCCCAACTCTAGTGCCCACAGGGCCAGACAGGAGGTAAGCAAATATACGTATACTGGTAAATCATGGTAACTTGGGTAGCATCTGTCCCATTCAGGCCAGGTTCTCATCCTAAGATGTTATTGCCATATAGAGATGCACAATTATACTGCAAGTACAAATAAAAATCTGGATGTTTGTATAAAATCTATCAACTTTTAAAATTTAGATCAAATTTATAAAATTGTGTGTTTGTCAACTGAAACCTATATTGGGGATAGATTTGACCTTTAAATGCCAATTTACAACCTCTGCCTCTACCATTTCTTCTTTTTAATTTTTTTAAATGTTTATTTTAATTTTTGAGAGAGAGAGAGAAAGAACGAGTGGGGGAGGAGCAGAGAGAGACAGAGACGCAGAATCCAAAACAGGCTCAAGGCTCTGAGCTGTCACCACAGAGCCTAATGTGGGGCTCAAACACACAAACCATGAGACCATGACCTGAGCTGAAGTTGTACACTTAACTGAGCCACCCAGGTGCCCCTGCCTCTACCATTTCAACATATTCCTATTTCCAAAGGAAACTTTAATATGCTTTGTCCCCATGTCAATGCTAAAATTGGGTCATGAAAATAATATTCATGCAAAAATATATTTCAACAACCACAGTAAAAACCAGATTGTCTTTCTTTTTGTTCACTTATTACTCTCATTCAAGATTCTCTTCACGTTCTCCAGCTATCCCCTTTACATCTGAAAATCAATGTTTTTCTCCCTGTGTTTCTATTTTAGTACACATACTTTCTTATTAATTTGATTTTAAAAGTAAATAATTTTGTTTGAATATTATGACTATGATTGGTAACAGATTTCATTGTTTTCAGGCACACTGGTTCTATTAAGCTAATAGGATTCATCATATTAAACACTAGGATCCCAGTGACGCCTTCACTTTAAAAACACCACTAGTGAAAGAGGGGTTATTCTTCATCGGTGTCAGAGACATGGAGAGAAGCAAGACTTAGACCACCTTCATCCAGCAGAGGGGAATGTGCTGTGCTCTCAGTAATAAACGGTCTCTGAAGACATGCACAGAATCCCAACTTCAGAATTGGACAGCAAAAGCTCTGGCACAATATGTCCAATAATGAGAGGTAAAGCAAATAGTCCACATGGAGGTTCAACATTGTAGATGGCAGAAGGAAACAATGAAATTGAACACAATTACTCACTTATTATTCTTCGTTTCCTTAAGAGCACCCCCTCTCAAATTGCAGAGACAGCACTCCTAGGAGAAAAAAAATGCCACACAATTATCACACCCATTTAACAGACACTGTTACTATATACTTAAATATTCCCATAAATTACACTTTTTTATTTGAAATTAAAATCATCAGGAACTTCACAATGTCCTATCTCGAAGCAGTTCAAGAAAGGAAAGGAAAAATAGAGGAGGAAAAGTGAGGATACACACAAAAATATTCTCTCTCTCAAGATAGATAGACAGACAGATATATCCTAGATGGAACCATCATTACCCTGGTATCATGTTCAATTGCCATCTGAGGGAAAGCTGTGACACTGAGGGAAAGTTGTGACACAGAGCACTTGATAACCTGGACAGTATGTTCTAGAATTCTAGAACAAAGAATACACATATGACTGAGTTCTCCTGTGCTCTGGGAATCCATTTGTGTATACAGGAGAGCTACAAAATAGAGTTTTGGCAGGCTTCATTCTTATACAAGGATTAGCAAAAAGCTATTTTTAAGATACTCTTTTCACAAAAATATCATTTGGGTCTTTCTGTGGGCAAATGATATTGGAAAAACCCAGGCTATCCATCACCTTCAGAACAAAGTGCCATGAAATGTCTCCTCCCCACAAAAGTTTACATTTTGGGCACTTTTATATGTCACGGGTAGGCATAGACTGCTACACTTGAAGAGGACTCCCTTAACTGCAAATACAGATTTTATCATTTCCCACTAAAACCCTATGAAAAAGTCCATGGGAAAACAGGGCCAGAGCCTTTGCTGACCTAGACTTTTTAAATTAAATACCTAAGTAACTTTAAAAATGTTCAACCTCAAGCATTAATAGATGCCCTCTCAATTTCTTGCATTAATACATTTTTTAAAATAACTATGGGTTATTTTGGTTTTTTTCCCCTCTCCACACTATATGTGTGTGTGTGTGTATATATATATATATATATATATATATCTCCAAGGTGATCTTCTTTAACTAATGTTGATAGTTTTGCCTAATTTATAGGGAATCCCTTTAACTTATCTACTATTAATACCAGAGTGTCAAACTCCATAGCTTTTATTTTTCTGAGGAGCTCAATACCAAAACAACTGAGAAGAATCAATATATCTATATAACTCCTAAAAGGTGACAAAAAAGGCAAAGCAACAACCAGAAATGTTCAATGGTTTTGTGGGTCTGCACATCTATTTGAAATTTCCTGAGTTATTCTTAAAGGTTCAGAGTAGCAAAAGCTGCCATGTATATATGCATCTGAATCCATTATAAACCCAGTTCAAGGAGATAACTTGATGGATTTTCTCCATAACAAAGCCAGATTTTAGAGGCCTTTGAAACAATGGTTTTGATGAAGCACACACTGAAAGTAAGAGTTCAGTCTGAATATTGCCAGTTCAAATTATTCAATATCTAAACTACTCAAAAACAATTTCATAAAACATTAAGTGATTTTAAATATTTTTCCAGTATTTTAACACAGAGAGAGAAAATGAAAATGAAAACAAGAGGTAAAATATTTTCACTGTTATAAAATGATGCCAGTATCAAAGTGGGAATGCAGTAAAGGAAGGCTGTGGAGGGTTAGGAGCTCAGACACTAAGAGCATAAGGGTTCTGATAAATGAAACTAGTAGTGAGAAGAAGCCTACAGGGACATGTTAGCAGAGTTAAATACAGCAAAGCAGCATGGCAACCACTTTAAAGCACCTGGAAAGGATCACAGAAAGGTGCACACACTGCAGTCTGCTATCACACTGGTAAGAGAGCGTCCTCTCAAACAGAACAGATAGACTCGAGATTTTAAGTAAAGCTGAGAAGACTTGCACTGGTCACAATATGAAACTAGTTCTTTCTGGGATCATCAGTGACCTCCATGTCACAAAATCTCATGGATAATTCCAAGTTCTGGTTCACCTGACCTCTAAGCGGCATTCAACACTGTGAAGCATACCTGACAGTTTCTACCTGTAGTTATTATCACCCTACACACCCCTCACTGTCCTTCTCCGTCTCTAGTTGATCCTCTGCTTCCTTTAACAGCCATCTCTTCCACACTCCTTAAACACTGTAATTTTTGTAAGAGGCCCCATTCGCTTCTTGATCCACATATGCTTGCTGGGCATCTGATCCACTACCTTGACTCTCAAAAGGCCGGTAAGTGACTCAAACATTAATTTCCTGGTATGTCTGACTGACATTCGACAGGCATCTCAAACACACATGCAAAAATGAACTCATGTCTCCTTCTCAACTCCCCCACTGTTTCCTATCAGTGGCACAACCCACCTTTCTAGTTCATGCTGGAAGACATAATTTTCCTCTCATCCTAAATCTAATTAATTGAGTTCTGTCGATCACATGTCCAAACCCACCCTCATCTCTCCACCATCACTGCTGCCACATTAGTTGATAACCCAAGCGCCCTTCAGCAGATCTACATTACTGCAACAGCCACCCTATGTCAGTGTGGAACCCATCAGAATGGATTTGAATGCTTCTCAGGACTTACCATTGTTTCAAAGGGCCAGGATAGTCAGGCCTAGACCTTGTCCAGCCTCGCTCTACTACTCTGTGTCTATTAATTACACTGAATACATCCTTAATATCTCAACTTCAATTTTGATTCATCAGAAAAGGCTTTCCTAGTCTCCTGGCCCAGTTACTTCTCACTCATTACTCTTTTTAACTATTTGTTGAATTCATTTTGCTCTCCTCAGTAAACTGTAAGATCGAGGAGTGCTGTGGGAATATGTCAGGTTACTCTTTCTCTATTATGATACCCAATAGAGAATACATTTCCAGATGAGTTTGTTAAATAAATGAGAAAATGGCAAACTAGGGCGGAATGAAAATATTGAAAATTGCCAAAGGTTTAAAAAACTGCAAAGATTATTTTCACATACTAGGGCACTAAGGAAAGGAAGCTGCAGGCTCTGGTGACCTAAGATGGATGTTAGAAATAATGATTTGACATGGAGTTATTTTTGTCACAATTTACTTGAAAAATCACTTTTCTTAGTAAAAGGCAAAAATATTTGTGGCTAGATAGTTATTTATATGATTTACATGATATATATGATATCATGGTTTCTGTTCAGTTCACTCAATTTTGAAAAAATAAGTAGGAAAATAAGTTATATCTAGTTATGTAATTGTGCACCATCCCTCACAAGGTGCAAATTAGCTGATCTGTCACAAGTACAAACATGTCAATTTGTCAAATCATTCATTTATAGATGAATTTGCCTCAAATGCCGATGTTTATAACACAATATAAGGCAATATCAGATAGGATACTTTTTAACATTTCTTTCCTTTTTCTAAATAGTTCTTTATTGTCAGGGAACTAAACTAATAATTCTAAAATTTAAAAGGTTAATCCTTAGAGGAAAAGTAGTGCCAAGGTTTCTTAAGAATCCATACAATGCCTGATATACATAAAGGCTGACACCTACCAAATATACTAATTTTTCAAGTAAATCACTCATCTTTTAAATCAGGAAAGGATTGAATGAGAAAACAGAGTGACAATGTCCTGCAGGACACTGATTCATTAAACTGGTTATCAATAATAAGTATTTTCTATTAGAAGAATAAAGACTAATTAAAGGCCTAATTCCCTCCAGCTACCATGCCAGAAACATCATATACTATACCTCCCTTCCTTAACATGAATTTATCAGGTAATTTATATCCCACTTCATTTATGAGGAAACTAAGATTCAAGAGATTAGGTAACTTGCCTAATCCAGGAGCCATCAAACTTCTTCTGTAAATGGCCAGATATTTATTAATTCAGGCTTTGCACAACTATAGAGTTGTTGCAACTAAACTCTGACACTGTAGAGTGATATGTAAACAAATCAGTCTAGCTGCATTCCAATAACAATGTGATTTACAAAAATTGGCAGTGAGCTGGATTTGATCCACATTATAGTTTTCTAACCAGCAAAAGAATAACTGGGGTTCAAACTCAGATCTTCCTGAGCACATGCCCAGGCTATTTTTCTCCAGCATCGTCTGCCTGTTGGTGTAAGGGAAGGCACGAGATTTCAGAGTAGAGTGCCCAAGTAAGCAGGGACCTGTACCTGCCCTGGGAAGCTCACAGTCTAGGAAGGGAGGAGACCAGTGTGTATTTAAGCCAACTATGAAGAAGAAAATGATAAAGGGTATAGCCAAGTCCCCATTTCCTCATTTCTACAAGTGACTAAGAATTCATTTTTTAACTAATCCCCTCAAAAGAACCCATATCATAAAAAATTGTTACAAGTAGCATGTATCAATTAACAATTTGTATTCCTATTTGTTTCATTAATCTAGTGAATAAAATTCTCACGGGTATAAGATCACTATATTTATGTCCACTCCTTCCTTTGAAGAATGATACAATTTTAGGCAAAACAACATTTCAGTTAGTCTGGGCTATGTGAATCCAATTTAACTGAGAAGAACAATAGTAACACTGCAGAGCCAGGCCATATTCTGATGTTTAATAAGGTGCAGATAGTCAGGGTTCAAATCACACTTCTGTCATTTACTAGTGGTATGACCTTTCCTCAGATATCTTATCTATAAAAGGGGGAAAAATACTACTTCCCTAAATGAGTTAATAAATGTAAAGCATTCCACAAACACACAATAAATACAAGAACAGTGGTTATATATGTGAAAGGTTAATTGTGCTTCTAGACAACTTACACATAACATTGCCAGTGAATTATCTAGATATAGTGGTTTAGCAGGGAACAAAATATAGATCTGTCATTAATAATTCTCTTGAGGTGCAAAAAGCAAGAGCTGGAGAGAAACAACACTCTCCAGGAACCCTAAATCCAGGCAGCTAGGCTCTAAAGCAAGAGAGATCTATAGTTCTAAAAGCTGTAAACTCAGTTATGAAAAGCAGACAGATGCTAGAGTTTCCACAGTGCTCAGAGAACAGACACTGCTGAAGGGAAAAATCCAAATCCTACCCTCAAAACATCTCAAAATAGAGTAGACTGAATCAAACTAAAGC